TCTTCTCCTCTTGCACACACATAGCCATGAGCCTCTCTAAGTCCCACTTCTCGGGCTGTATGTTGTGGTTGACAACAAAAGTGTCAAATTTCTTAGGCAAGAAAGCAAAAATCAGATGGATAAGGAACTCTTTCTTGAGAGCTAGATCCATTGGTTTAGCTTAGATGCCAAATTGCTCATCCTTAGTATGTGCTCTCTTATGCCACAATTTCTAGAGTACCTCTCTGTCACCAGCTGCTTTATCAGCTGGGTAGCATATGTCTTTGAAGAGCCAGTGAGCTGACTCTTTATTCTATCGAGGTACTCGGTGACCACGTCACACTCTAGGATTGAGTCCACAATTGCAGACTCAATCATGTTCTTTATCACAGCCAAACATTTCTTGTTGGCAGTGACCCACTTCCTGCTCAAAGTCATAGGACATCTTTTGGGATGCAAAATCTCTCTCTCTAGTTGCCCAAGCGGCATCAACCTCGTTTGTCTCCCTCACCGGTGCCACAGGCTCAGTGGGACACGGTGAGGTGACTACCCAGTCTACCTCAGCCAAGATGAAGGCCAGGTCAATCTTTTTCTTCCACTCCGTGTAGTTATCACCTTTGAGAGTGGGGATCTCTTTGATACAACCCATCAAGTTGTATCCGCCCGAAAACACAATTCATATAGAGTGAGAACATAAATAACAACAACAGTTGCATGCCTTGACTCCAACGTTGGTCAAAATTAAAATATACAACTATTTATACATTAAATCTACATCACCGTTGGGCAGAAGTAAAAATAATGCATAAAATTATTAAAATTATGATATTGTTATTAACAACGTTGGTTAGAAAATAACAACATCATAATCATGTCAAAATCTCTTTTTCTCCAATTAAATATCACGTTGGTTCAAAATAACTAGAGAATTAACAACTTCTTTAGCTGCAAAAAACGTATACTCAATTTCTTGAATTTTACCCATAAGGAAAAATTACTTTTTCCATTTTCTTTGAGCTATTTTTCATTTTCCAGAACAAAGCAATTACTAGAAAATAAAAAAGGAAAAACTGATCTTGGGCCGGAACTCGTACAGTGGCCTGGCCCAGTTCTGCCCTTTCACTCGCGCGCGCGTGCGCTGCGCTGATCCAGGCCGCAACCTGGGCCTGGACCGGCAAAGCAGCCCGGCGCACTCGCCCGCCTAGGCTGAGAGCGGCCCGTTGAAACCTCGCCGTCGGATCTCATCCGACGGTCGAGCGCAGGCTTCATGGGATCAAAACCCACTCGGCCGCATCGGCTGGAAACCCTAGCCCCATTCCCCTTTCTCCTCTGCCTTTCTCTCTCAGCCGCGCGGCGCACCGATCGAGCGAAGCGGTGGAGCGGGCAGTCATGGCGCCGTCGCCGGCCCCCTCGCCGGCGTGCACGCTCCCTAGTGGGTGAGCGCGCCGCCGTCGAGCAGCTTGGCCGCGGCGCCCCCTTGGCCGAGCCCGGGCGAAACAGCTCCCTCGGCTCGGCCTTCTTCTCCCGTGCCGGCGAAGGGTCAGCCCGGCGCACGGTGAGGTAGGTCCCTTTCCTCTTCTCCCCCGTCCCCTTCTTCTTTTGGATTTGGTTTCTACTTCTCTTATCCGAACCGGTGTTGGGGATTAGGGTTAAGATCTAGGGTTAGGGTTTGGAATCGGACCCACTATTCTTCTTCCCCAGAGGGTCTTCACGGGTTTAGGGTTCGGCTTTGATTCTCTTCTAGGCCGAATCCCTCTTCTTTTGTTCTTTTCTTCACCCAGTTAGGGTTAGGGTTAGGGAACCCCTTCTGTCTGCTCAGATCCGAAAGAATCTAATTCATTCTTTCCTTTTCTAATCGTTTCTAGCCCTTGCCGAGATCTACCCCTAGCAAACCGAGCTCTGATACCATTGTTAAAACTTGTAGGATCGTCTAGGAGTAGATCCGGGGTGTTAAACATTTACTGGTTGAATCAAAGACCTAGAACACGTTCTAGACAGAGAGACAGAGACAGAGAGAGGATAGATGAAGAATGTGTCGAACCTGACACCGCAGGGGGGGGATGATCTAGAAGCCGCCATCACGTTCGTCGGTGAAGTCTGCGCACGGGCAGCGACGTTCGGAGAAGAGGTCGATGAAGTCGTCGACGTCGGTGGAGCGAGGCGGCGCGGCTGGTGGCTTCCCGTCACTGGTTGCGCCCCTCTCTGATAGGATTAGGGTTTAGGTTTCGGTGGGGAGCTCGGCTCAGGCGAACCTCATCCACAGAGCCACCGGCCCCCACCTCTATTTATTGCGTAGTGTGATAGGGACCCTTCAGCCATAGTGGGCTGGGCGCCCCCAATCAGGACGCGGATCAAAGGCCCAACTAGGCCGTTGGGCCCAGTTTGGGATTAGAGATCAATCTAACACCTCTTTAACAAGGCTTTGGATTCTTAAAACGGTGAAGCTAAGAAAAATCACATTTTATGACTTCGGCTTTTGGTTTTATTGTTTTTACTTGGTTTTGGCTTTGTAATCTTGAAAGAGTGCCTAATTGACTGTAGAAACAATCTATGTATTATGAAGCACAACCACTAATGATCATGCTAAAACTGTATGTTTTTTGTCTTATATTGTACCATAAAATTTAGAACTTCTTTGCCACCCATTAAAGGTAGTAAAGTTGAAATTAATGATAGTACCTCTATTTTAAGAGGTGCCAAAATTTAGGCCATGTTTAGCAGGGTTCTCTTCAGCTTCGGCTCCGTGCTACAATACTAAAGGAGCCAGACCCAGAGTTCCAATTCATTTCGCAGCGAGAGAGAAAATGGCTCCTATGAATAGTGATGCTACCGTTACTGTTGTAGAAGAAGCCACGAGAAACCGTACCAAACAGGCCCTTATATTACTTGTACATATGTTTACAATGAGGTACCAAAATTTATACCGAGCTGCATATTTTCTACAAGGAGGTGCCAAGATTTGCACATGATACCTCTCTAAGGGCCATAAGAAAGCTTGGATATAGATCAAATATGCAGAAATTGATGAGTACATATTTTTAAGGCCCGTTTGATACAACTCTAATTATAACCAAAATCAGTCTGTACATTCTATAGTGGAGCAGTTCTTTTTAGCTTCAGTTCGTTTGGATAGAGAAATGTTTGATAAAAACAACTCCTGGATGTGAAAAACCTAGAGAATAGCTATAACACCCTTATATATTTTTTTCTTTTTTTCTTTTCTTCCTTCATTATTTTCTTCCCTAATTTCTCTCTATTTCTTCTTTCTCCACCCTATCTCCACAGCACGGCTTCCCCTCACTTGACTTCTTTTTGCACACGGTATGTGCCCCACTGTGTCGCCCTTTCGCACGGCCAGCGTCTGGCCCTTCCGTCCACGCTCGGTGTCCGCTCGCCCTTGCCCCGACTTTGCCTTCCCCGTGTCAATGGCCGCTTCCATCATGTGCTAGTGTCTGCTCCTCCCCTCCTCATGCCACCCGGCGTCGCCCCTTCTGTCGCCACATGTGTCCAACCTCCGTCCCGCGCCGACGTCCTCCTTTCCTACATCCCTCCACCGGAGCAGTCTGGACCATGGCCGTATGTTGAGGGGAGAGAGAGAGAGAGAGAGAGAGAGAGAGAGAGCTGATGTGCTTGGAATGCCATTGCTGCCTCAAGAACACCAACCCGCAGGTGTGTCTACGAACAAATGGTCGATATGTACCCATATGGTTCGGTTTATGATGAGTGATTGTCAACGTGAGCAGCGTTTGAGTTGAGTTGGTGAACTAACCGAGGCGTGAGTTTAGGTTGTGCAACATGTCTCTTGGCTTGTGGTGCGCAGGTTTGGAGCTTGGAGACGGTGGTCGACGGCGAAGGTCAAGGTCAAGCGGGGTTGTGCCAATGGACTAGGAGCGGTGAAGGACGGATGTCGGGGCTTGGACCGAGGGACTAGAGAAGCCGGGTGACTAACCGTGGGTGGTTGACACCTGGGGTCATCGACAAGTGCAAGAGTACATAGGAAGTGGACCGCGTTGACCAAGTCAAGACGGCGATCGAGCAAGTCAAGCGGAGGCAGAGGAGGACTTGATGGCTGGGCTGTCAAGGAAGACAATGACACATGTCGAGTTCGTGGGGTGAGTGTATGGAGTAAGCTACCCACGAGTGGTTTGGTGGTTTACACCCGTTTCATTGCTCCGTTTGTCCATTTGGCCTCCTATTTCTTCCGTGAGGTTCCTGCCGCGTTCAAGAACTTTTCTCAGCTCTCTAGTCACCAGTTGGCTTGAGAGTTTCGAGTCAGACTCTTGCTTCTCCGTGATAGAAGTGGGGAGCACCGTCTTGGGTTTTCGTTGTTGTGTTAGTGCTTTGTGTGTGTTGAGGTGTCCTGCTGTGTTCCTAGTAAACATCTAGCCACCAGTTGGTTCGAGGGCATCTCGCTTGGAGTGTTTGGTGCTTTTGGTGGTAATTTTGGGATAGATGTCATTTCGAGACAAATTTTGGATGACTCCCATTCACCTCCTCTGGTCGCCTAGTTCGGTCTTGTCTCACGAGTCACGACGTGCTGCTACCAGAGGATCTGTGGTGAGTCCGTCTGCTCGATTCCAGTGGTGGTCTCTTGTGGATGCAACCACTGCGTCCCTCCTGGTCATCATAGTCATCGCCCTCCTCCTCGGACCGACTGAAGCATGTATCGTTTTGCACAATATACGTGGACCTTCAAGTGGGGTGCAAATAAATCCAAGGCAAATAGTATAATCCATTCAGTTTTGATGTATGGGTGGTGTTAATCCTTGTGACCGTTTAACAAAGGCTAAATGCTTGGCTTTTAATATGGGTGCTTGTAATAAGAGCAATTAATTAAACGTTGGCCAGATGACCCATCAAAACCAGCATGCAGCACTACAGAAATTCAGTACACAAACATTTGTATATAATATATAGAGATGGACGAGACTTATCAACAGGCAACGGCATAGCAAATCACAACTGATCGATCAAGTGACCATCGATCTCTCCTCTTTGTTCTTTGTGAGGATCCATCAGCCATGGCGCTTAGCTTCAAGATGGCCGCCTCCCTCGTCGCCGCCGTCCTCCTCTTGGCCACCCCACAAGCTCGAGGTAGACATACATACATGCGCATCCATGCATCACACGGTTCTTGCATGCCGTCGTCGTCGTTTCAATGATTCGATCCTAATTCCTAACCTGACCTGACCATCACGCATGGCAACATGTGCTTGCAGTGGCGGAGCCAGAAGTTTTTCAGAGTCTGAGCAATCCTCGTTGCGCAAAAATATTTGCCTAGCAAATTATAACATTTTTCTTTGATATAAAGAAAATTTTCTTTTGGAGTTTGCCGAGGAGCCCGGCCGGCCACTCGGCCGGGCGGTGGCTCCGCCAGTGTGTTCATGTATATATACTCGTAGGTTGGGCATTGGAGGACCATGAGGTGATGCCGGACGACATGGTGCTGGTGGAGAAGCCGGCGGAGCAGGTGGTGGCGGCGATCCCCGGCGGCGCTGGCACAATAATGCCGGGGTCGATCATCTGCCTGCAGTGCCGGTGTTGCTCCAGGTTGAACCCTGGGAAATGCCTGATTACCACCTGCTGCTCTAGCTTGAATTGCGACCGCGGTGGCAAGTGCAACAACGTGCAGGACAAATGCGGATGCGCCGGCTGCGACGTCGCCAACTAGTCGACCGGCCGCCAGGCGTCTAATTGAGCAGCATCGGATCGGGAGTTTTAGGATTTTGGGGGTAGTTATAATGGTTATGGTTTGGATTAAACATCCAGCCAGCTGTCATTTATTCTAATGTTGAGAATAAAATGTGCACTGAAAGTGCTTTAGATATTTTTTTTTTGTCTTATACTCCCTCCGGTTCTCTAAAGCAAGTTGTTTTGGACATCGACACGGTCTTTAAGAAACGACTTTGACCGCTACTTTTTGCTATAAAATATTTATAAAATATAGTCAATATATACTTTTATGAAACTACATTTCGAGATGAATCTACTTACATCACTTTCATATTTTCAAACTCAACCCAAAAAAGTTATTTGTAGTCAAAGTTTAAAATGTTTGACTTAAGACAACCTCAAAACGACTTGCTTTAGAGAACCGGAGGGAGTATATTGTACCATAAAATTTAGAATTCTTCACCACCCAGTGAAGGTACTAATAAAATTTAAATTAGTCATAGTACCTATTTTTCCTGAGGAGGTGCCGAAATTTTTACTGGTTGTACATTTGTTTTACAAAGAGGTGCCAAAATCTATACTAATTATAGAAATTTTCTACAAGGAGGTACCAAGATTTACACATGATACCTATGGATACCTCTCTAAGGGCTATAAGAAAGCCTCGGTATTGACCAGATATTCATAAACTTAGTACAAATTTACATATATCTAGAATGCATTGCCAATCATCTCGTCCCTCCATGAACTAAGGCTCAAGGTTGTAGCATCTCCGCCTGATCTTTCTCCTCCTATATTCTTGTAATATAGAAGATTAGGTTGCTCAGTAGATCTCTTTTCCCTATATCTTTTATATCTTTTAGAGACATCTCAAAACCTACTTTCTCTTCCTCAAAGAAAGGAGACACTAGCACCTCCTCTATCCATGGGTCCCATGCCAAATTGCCACATACGCCCCGCTGCCTGCCGGCCCCATGAGGTCGCACACTCGCACCTCGCGTCGCCGCTTGCTGGGCACACCCATGGCTGGGCCTTGCCACCGTTGGCCACTGGGCTCCCAAGGTCGCACCCTGCACCGCCGGCCGCCGAGATCCCGAGGTCATGCCTCTGCTGCCCATCGGTCACCACGCCCCACGCGACCGGGCCTCGTACCACTGCCCATGAGGATCCTGAGACCTGAGGCCGCACCTTGCAAGTTAGAATAGTTTTTTTTTTTTTTTTGACTGAGTGAGTATATTGCAAGAGAAGAGGTAGCGAGGAATACAAACTAAATAAACTACGGAAACTGCAAAATGAATACACATAATGACATAAATACATCCTCCTAAGCTGAGGCGTTTTCGCGTTTATAGATAGAGGAAAAAAGAATAAAGCTGTGATGGTAACTTTTGTGCAGTTGCAGGCCGGAGTTTGATGAACATTAATCTCCACTCTGATCTTTCGCCTCTTATATATAGTGCTCGCGAGCTGGGGACACCATCATCAACCATCTCTGCAGTTCGATTTCATACCAAACACACCAAGAACAAAAATGCCATGGCCGAACAACGATCGACGATCGCTCTCAAGTCTCAACATGGCCCTCTTTGCCCTCCTCTCTTTCACCCTCCACTTCCAAGCCCAAGGCGAAGGTATGCATACGTATACACGTACTACACATGTATTTATCTATATATGCATCGATTGCACAGTATACACTGGTTATTATTCGTAAATCGTAACACTGGTGGTGCTGAACTGATGAATGGGTAGCAGGCGCGTGGGGACCCACTGCCGGCGGTGAGGCCGACAAGACGGAGTTCGTGCTGCTGGAGCCCATCCCGGAGCGACTACTGGTGGCGACGGTTGGCGTGGTGAACGCGACGGATTCGGATACCCAGATGACCGAGCTGACGTGCTTCGGTGCTTGCAATGCCATTGCTGCCTCAAGAACACCAACCCGCAGGTGTGCCTCACGACGTGCTGCTACCAAATGATCTCCGGATACCCGCAGGTGGTCTCCTGTGGATGCAACCACTGCGTCCCCCCTCTTGTTCAACGTAGTCATCGTCCTCCTCCTCGGACCAACTGAAGCATCGTTACATGTAGAACTGTAGAAGCATCGTTGCACAACATACGTGGACCTTCAAGTGGGGTCCAAATAAATCCAAGGCAAATATAATCCATTCAGTTTTGATGTATGGGTGGTGTTAATCCTTGTGACTGTGTAACGAGGCCTAAATGCTTGGATATTGATATGGGTGCTTGTAAGAGCAATTAATTAAACGTTGGCCAGATGACCCATCAAAACCAGCAGGCAGCACTACAGAAATTCCTACTTCTCCCAAACATCAACAACACCATATTTGAATCATAGATAGAGAGACAATGTATTAACAATTCATCACGCTTTGGTAGAGACTACAGAGATGTCCTTGCCATGCTTCGACGACTAGAGTTGACACCTATGTAGAGATAACCAACTAAGTTCAAAGACAAGTTCAGACTGACGATGGCTAGTTCGACAGACAATGTGGATCCCGTCCTCCACTGCCGTATTAATAATAATAACCCGAGGTACCTAGCAGCAACGGACAGAATCCTGCATAGTCGTCGCCTGTTATTCGGAAGCAGCACTGCCACACTGCCGAAGATGCCACCAATTTGGATGTGAGTTTAGCCCTGCAGCTGGATGCAGTAAAAACTTAATTAATTAGTCACCATAATTACAGATGTAGTGCGACAATTTTTTTAAAAAAGATTAGTTTCAGGGACAAGGCGTAATTTAATTATCTGAAGGGTGGAGAACACACACTATATAGAAACAATAAAAGTTCGATTTTGCGTCAAGTTGCATGACAGTATATAACAATGATTTGAAAAATATAAAGTGACAGTATATAACAATGATAAAACAAAATATTACCATTTCATATCCTTCTCGGTGACATAGATTGTGGGTACCCAACATAGGGTTGAACATCTTGGCACTTAGTATTGACCCTCTCAAACGTCATAGTCTTGAAATCAAGTGTGAAACATCCTGATGTGTAGTCTGCCAGGAAAATGTACCGTTTGAGGTTGACAAACGAAGTATAAGCAACAATCGGCAACGGGCATCGGGATTATATTCTTCAGCTGCCACTCATTAGCTATCTTGCCCTCCTTTTGCACACTGGTGTAGTAACGGGCGGGCGACCATTTGGCGTAGATATGGTGACTAAACATTCCAAGCATGCCGTTACCTTCCTCCACAATGAGGATAATCCGCTCCTCCTGTTCAGGCAGGAGGTCGACAGTGGAGAACTTTTTCGTGTTCATGTTGAGCTTGACCAACTTACTCTCCAAACGCACTTTCCAGTAGAGACAGTTATATGCATAAGAGGGATAACAAAGCTCTTGGGAGAATTTTGTTGGTCTGCTCAACCTTAGGCTATCCCAGCTGGTTGACGCACTGACACTCCAGCTGCCAGAGCCCGACCCTGAAGAGAAGACGGTCACCACTAACTCTTGGTAGCAATGCATCAACATGATCACTCTGAATGATGTCTCGTCGTCCTCGTCGACGGAAGGGGCAAACCGAACATCATAATGTTTGAGATTTTGTTCGTAGGCTTGGCCGTCAGGTATGGGAGGCAGCAGCAGGTACCGCCGGGACAACGGGTCACAGACCGCGAGGTCCGGCAACACAACCTCCAGGTCGGAGTCGGGGCACAAGCACTCAAGAAGGACACGGCCGTCGTAGATTTCGCAAGGATACCAGCCGTCCCATCTGCCGCGAGGGACGTAGTCGAAGGAGAAGTCGGCGGCGCGGGTTATAGCGCGGCCGGCGGGAGCGCCAGGATGGGGCGCCTCGGCGGGTTCGAAGCTGCAGTCGTCTTCGTTGACGAGGCCGAGGACGAGAGGCGGGTGGAGCGACCGGTAGCGACGGAGGAAGATGGGGTCGGTTATGAGGCGGTGGAAGGAGACGCATGCGGTGGAGACGCGGGCCAGGACCGCAGGGGAGGCGACCCGGACAAGGATCTCCGCCAGGAGGTCGTCGGGGAGGGCGGCCGGCTGCCGCGGCGACTCCGTGGCCTCGAGGAGGGGGAGGATCGGGCGAACCGGGGACGACATCGCCAGCGCGCCGCCCGCCTCCGGCGGAGGGCGGAATTAGGAAGTCGAGGGTTTCGGCGAGTGAGCTGGATGTGTGTGAGGTGTATTGTTGGGTCCGCGTTCGGCCCATGCTTCCAAATCACCTTAGGGCTTGAACGCAGAAATACAAAATAAAGGAATGAAAAAAAAAACATAGAAATAGAATAGAGCAAAAAGTAGAAAACTACGGGATTTGAAAACACAGGAATAGAAACTTTGGGATGTTTAGATCATAGGAAAACAAAATGCCACATGTGCCCAAGAAGCAGGTTCCATGCTTGAGAACTTGACAAAACATTGTAGGAATTTTTCCTTTAGGTTTCCTTGGATGCTTTTTTCCCTACGTTTTATGAAACCCGGTTAGTCTTTCCTTTGGAAAGGAATGCAGGTTTCCTTTGTTCCAAACAGCAAGTTGAGGAAACATTCATATGGAATTCATTCCTTTGATTTTCCTTTGGAAATCCTCCATTCCAAACATACCCTTAAAGGATAGGGACCTAGAGTCCTCGGGAAAAACTAAATGCCTGTGTGGCGTTTGTGGCCCAACTATCGCTTTTCAATAAATCGATTGCCGCAAATAACGTGAGAAATTGAAATTTTGAAATCACAAACTTATACTATTATATATAAAGTAGTCTCAACTCCCAACCATAAATTAGGATAATTTCTATGACCATTAATTAAGGCATCAATCAATTTTTAATAGTGACGTGCCATTTAGAATTAAGGAGGCAAGAGAGAGAGAAATATTTTTTATAAAAAAAACTATGTAAGAAGATAAAAAAGACCATGTAACAATAAAAAGATAAAAAAAGATGTGATAGGTACATAAAAAAAGATATGATAGGTATATAATAGGAGAGAGAAGACACACGCTTGGATAAAGTTTTATTTTTGAATGAATCATTCATTGAGAATATGAGTATAGTGTCTGTATGACTTGGTAAATCTGAGTAAATTATCTTATAGTTTCTGAGTTGGGACTATCCTAAATGTGCAAATGAGAGTTTATACTTGATGCATTGTTCTTTTGATTGAAGGGAAAGGAGCAAGAATTATATTAACCCTCGACATAATATAATGTTCAATCTAGGTCCTTCCATTGTCTTTCTTGCTAGTAGCTTTCGTCTATGTAGTCAATGCTTCAGACAAGAGAGCTCTATCAAACATCAAGGCAAGGTGAAGTCCTCATGCTAAATCCGTCAATGAACCCTAAAATATTGGGCATACCAGGAGAACCAATGTTCTAGAATCAGACTGAAGTACATCTAAAGCAATGAAAGAACATTGATGGATGAATCATTGAGATAAAACATGTTGCAGATTAAGCATCTCCAGGCCTTGATCTGTCAAGTTGGATACCTGATTTTTGGCTCTGTAGCCATTAGCGATGAAGACGATGACCTAGAGTTACTATCCCTATGGAGAGTGTTTAGGGGAACCTTCCTTTTTTGCAAATAGTGACCATAAATTAACCTCTTGCTGATGAAATTGATGCCAAGAATGGGGACTTGTTATGAACACCATCGAAGTGAACTCCTGGCCGAACATCATATGAAATTACTATAGAATGGCTTGTTTCATATGAATTTTACCAAGAGGTTGAACCCCATGGAAAGTTTTTGTTCATGTCACTCTCTCTCGTCGAATTTCGGTGACTTTCTATGGGGGGTCTGACCCCGGGTACCCACGGCGATGCACATGGGCCGCACCAACAGGGACGATCCAGCCCACAAGACAAAGGCTTGCGACGCACGGCACTGCCCGCGCGCACGCCACAAGATACCTCGGCAGCATCCTGAAGATAGCGTACAATCTGTTAGGATATGCCGAATGTAAGATTCCATGTAAAGCTTATTTGTTACCCGATAAGTTGTATACCTGATCGGCATGTAACCCTACCTCCCAAACTATATAAAAGCGGGTAGAGGACCTCCTCAAAGGACACGCAATCATATATGATAGCCAATACAAACAGGCAGAACACAGGATTAGGGTGTTACGTCGAGTTGATGGCCTGAACCTGTCTAATCTTGTGTCTCTGTCACCATATTGCTCCTGTTCATGCGCACCTCTCCGATCAATCTATCATCGTGGGTATCCCCCTCGGTGGATTACCGAGCATATTTAGTCGACACTTTACTACGCTCCATCCAAACGATCAATCATGCAGTTTCCTATGTTTTATCAATCCATATGATTCAAGATGTGATGACATTCTATTCCTACCTTTTTCTATTATTGGGTTTCTAGAATTTTGTGTTCCAAAGATGCCCTAATTGAATTTATGTGTTTTTTCTACAATCCATCCAAATGTTCAATCCTATAGTTTCCTTTAATCTAAAATGTTAGGTCATTCTATTCCTATGTTCTTCCTACTCTGTTTTCTAGAATCCCACAATTCAAAGAGTCCATAAAGGTTTGAGATAGCTATACCAAGAACACCATCAGGGTCAGAGTTCAGGCATGTGCATCAAGATGCTACCTCTCGCAATGCCTGTCTAACCGCAGGCCAGATACCCGCCATGTATCAATGAAGCAATGGTATGCTTATTTGGACCTATACACTTGTTGGTAATGGGGAACCACATTAATTGTGGGGGTATGCCTCCCGGTATCCACAAGACAAGACATGGGCCGCACCATCAGAGGTGGCCCAACCCACAAGATCAAGGCGTACACGGTGCTGCTCGGCGTGCACCGCAAGCTATTGTGTAGTACCAAATAGGCTATTTTCCTTGTAACCTTACCCCTCCAGAGTATATAAGAAGAGGCAGGGATCCCCTAGTGGACACGATACATACATCTCATATTCAATACAATACACCAAAGACACAGGACGTAGGGTATTACGTCAATCAGACGGCCCAAAACTGTCTAAATCATTGCCTCTCGCACCTTGTGTCACCATCCGGTTCCCTATTACGCGCACCCCACCGACAAATCTACCTTCGTGGGATACCCCTCGAGTATCGCCGAGCATCTTTTGTCGATGCTAATTGTTTGTTTGGATCCTCTCTAAATCAGAGAGCTTTAAAACCTTTAGAGCATTTTAGCTCATTTTTAAGTCTAAAACTCTAATGTGAGGTGGATTCAAGTTTAGAGCCAACTTTAGATCACTGTTTGGAGACTTTAGCTCTAAAGTTTAGAACGGGATCAAAACAGCTTTTAAAACACGTGTCGGTGTTTCGAGTAAACACCAACTAGTAAATTTGTATTTGTTGCTCGTTGGGCCCGGATGGTGTGCTAAAAGGTTTATACTGGTTCGGGCAGAATGTCCCTATGTCCAGTTTGCGACTGTTGCTCATGTTATTAGCACTGAAAGGTTCATAGTAGGGGGTATAAACGGTCGAGAGAGGGACATGTCACAAGTCTCTGATGAAAAGGTGGAAAGGGCGCCGAGAGCTTGGTTGCTGCTCAGCTGTGTGTTATGTGATGCGTTGTGTGTTGAATTGATCGGTCCCCTTAGTGGGGTGCCCTGCCCTCCCTTTTATAGATCAAGGAAGAGCATGGATTACAGATGGGAGAAAGAGAAAAAACCAGAGGCAGAGAAGGTCCTTTGAAAGTGTCGGGTCTTCCTTTTCCTTTGAGCCCGCCCTGCTGACATGGCAGACGGTGCCAGGGATAGCACGTTCGCCGATCCTGATAGGGCCGCGCTCTGGCTTCGTTCAGCAAGTGGTCATGTCTCATCCCACTCCGCGGACGGCGCGGCGCGCCAGGGTGCTGAGCCGCGACCCTACGGGGAGCAGATGGCGTAGAGGCCCCACGTTCGTACTGTAGATGACATGAGTTTTCTTCTGGACCGTAGTGGTTGTCGTATGTTTCCGTCAGGATTCGTGTCCGAGGGCAAATGTCGGCGCCCATAACACTGTAGGACAAATGTCGACGCCCACAACACTGTTTGGGCTCTGACATGCCTAGAAGGGCTTAAAGCACACATGTCGGTCATATCTCGATGGTACCTTCCCCGCAGCGTGCGGTGGTATGGTCCTCAGTATTGCGGTTGACTTGAGTGCCCCGCCTTATCTCGCACGCTGTAGTTATGAAGGAGCAACGCGACAAAGGGCGGCGAGGCGGTGAACTTGCCCGGACGTCGGGTGAGGGGGCTCCCCGGATCGCGTCGGGCGAGGCGGCGAGCCTGCCTCCCAGCGTCCAAGGAGGAGTAATCCACCCTCGGGCGTCAAGGCGAGAGCCAACCCGCCGGTCGTTGGGCAAGAAGTGTAGCTGCGTTCTTGTCTGCTCTTCGAAAAGCTTCAATGTTTGATAGTTATTAGCTCATCCTCTTTGGGTATCCCAGTATTCGGTCTCCGACAACATGTCTGCACATGGAAGCTTTACACATGGTGAGCTAGCATTAGCGAAAAAGTCCATGAGGCCCGAAGAGCTAGAATCCTTTTCACGATAACTATGGGCGGATCTATATAGGTCGTAGGGTGTGCGGGCATATCATAAAAACAAAAAAAAAAACATACTTATACATACCTCTATGCTAAAAATTATACACTTACGAGATAAAACACTCTCTTGCATCTGCTCTAGCTTTGTCAACGACGATGGTAAGGATCTATGAACGCTAAAACCATATCTACAAATAAAAGTTTTACATGTGGTGAGTTGGCACCGGTGAAAACGGCTGACAGAATCCTTTCCGCGACAAGGATCTAGGTATACATGCAACCTTCAACCTCGTACATGCTATTTGTAACGCCGACATATGGGTCCCACAATGAAGTTCTGGCTTAACCATGACCCACGCCACGAATGGGGAAATATCCAAAACCAGATAAACCCCGTGTACCGTCTCCCTCCCTCCCTCCCTCGCCCGCGCCTCCACCACTCGCTCGCTCCGCCTCCGTCCACCTCCGCTCCACCATGCCCGCCTCCCTCATTCCCTCGACCTTCCTCCCCCACCACCTGCGCCGCCTCGCTCCCGCCGGTTGCACTACCTCACCCGCAGCCTCCTCTTCGGCCTTCGTCCCAGCGAGCCGCTACGACTTCGAACCCCTCCTGGCCTACCTCGTCGTCCCTCCGTAGCGGCCTCCCCTCACCTCGCCATCCCCACCGGCATCCGTTCCGGCGCCCGAGCACCGCCTTGCCGCGACTTACTCGGCTGTCCCGTCGCACGAGTGGCATGCGTTGCTGCGTGACCTCGCCGCCAGTGACGCGTCCCTGCCGGTGGCCTTCGCGCTGCTACCTTTCCTCCACCGTCACCGTCTCTGCTTCCCGCTCGACCTCCTCCTCTCGTCTCTCCTGCACTCTCTCTCCGTGTCCGGCCGCCTTCTCCCGCACTCGCTCCTGCTCTCCTTCCCGCCGTCGCTCTCCGACCCGCCGTCCCCGCTGCTGCTCAACTCCCTCCTCGCGGCCTCCGCCGCGGCCTCGCGCCCCGCCGTGGCGCTCCGGTTGCTCTCGCTGCTCCGCGAGCACGATTTCCTCCCGGACCTCGCGTCCTACTCGCATCTCCTCGCCTCGCTGCTCAACACGCGGGACCCGCCCGACGCCGCGCTGCTCGAGCGCCTCCTCGGTGACCTCAGGGAGTCGCGGCTCGAGCCCGACGCGCCGCTCTTCTCGGACCTCATCTCTGCCTTCGCGCGGGCGGCGCTCCCGGACGCCGCGCTCGAGCTCCTCGCCTCCGCGCAGGCAATCGGGCTCACGCCGCGGTCCAACGCGGTCACCGCGCTCATTTCCGCGCTTGGCTCTGCGGGGCGCGTCGCCGAGGCGGAGGCGCTGTTCCTCGAGTTCTTTCTTGCTGGGGAGATCAAGCCGCTGACGCGTGCCTACAACGCGCTGCTCAAAGGGTATGTCAGGATTGGTTCGCTCAAGAATGCAGAGCAAGTTCTCGACGAAATGTCACAATGCGGAGTCGCGCCAGATGAGGCCACTTACAGCTTGCTTGTGGACGCGTACACAAGGGCTGGGAGGTGGGAAAGTGCGAGGATACTGCTGAAGGAGATGGAGGCTGATGGAGTTAAACCAAGCTCGTATGTGTTCAGTCGGATCCTTGCAGGATTCCGTGACAGGGGGGATTGGCAAAAGGCATTTGCAGTGCTCCGAGAGATGCAGGCTAGTGGGGTAAGGCCAGATCGGCATTTCTACAACGTCATGATAGATACATTTGGGAAGTACAACTGCCTTGGGCATGCTATGGATGCCTTTGACAGAATGCGAGAAGAAGGGATTGAGCCGGATGTTGTCACATGGAATACTCTCATTGATGCACATTGTAAAGGAGGGCGGCATGACCGTGCTATGGAGCTGTTTGAGGAGATGCGTGAAAGCAATTGCCCACCAGGCACGACCACATACAACATCATGATAAATTTACTCGGAGAGCAAGAACGTTGGGAGGGTGTGGAAGCAATGCTATCAGAGATGAAGGAGCAGGGACTGGTACCCAACATTATTACATATACTACTCTCGTGGATGTGTATGGAAGGTCTGGTAGATACAAGGAGGCAATTGATTGCATTGAAGCGATGAAAGCTGATGGTCTCAAGCCATCGCCTACTATGTATCATGCCTTAGTCAATGCATATGCTCAAAGGGTAAGAAAATCTTATATTGTGGCATATTTTTCAACTATAGTTACCAACGAATATCCTGTACCTACACCTGGTTATGACCAGATAACCCATCCCGAAAGCCTTGATGCAGAATTGGTTAGCTGTTATACTACTTTTGAGATTTACTTCATAATACCCAGTTCTGTTCTGCCAACAATTGACCTGCACAATCTAATTACAGGTGGAATCTATATGTTCTGGCTTTGGTATCTACCTAGTTGGTTTCTAAAGTTTTTGCATAATATGATTGCTTGCTTAGTTGAGTACACAAATCAGGGCTGTAGTGTTGATACATTTCAGCCAGATTAAGTAAATTTATCTTATTCAAAATAAAATTTTGGTTCTCACTGTCCATGCATGATTATCTACAGGGTTTAGCAGACCATGCATTAAATGTGGTCAAGGCTATGAAAGCAGATGGCCTGGAGGTTAGCATCTTAGTGTTGAATTCGTTGATTAATGCTTTTGGTGAAGATAGAAGGGTTGTTGAAGCCTTCTCTGTGCTGCAGTTCATGAAGGAGAATGTGAGTCTTGTTTTTCTCATTTTCTTATTTTGATCTGCTTCACACACTCATGTTACTTGTCGACGGTCATTCTGTTTGATCATACTGTCTTTGGCAATTCGTCTGTGTGTAATGGAAGTCTGATATGTTCTGCATTTCATATTGCAGGGTTTGAGGCCTGATGTTATAACATACACAACATTGATGAAAGCTTTAATACGTGTTGAGCAGTTTGATAAGGTAAGCACAAACTCTTGTGTTTCTCCTTTCTCCTTGCCACGATAAAGTAGACACACCTCAGATCAAAATCTTACCTGCTAACTTTACATGCTATCGAATCCATTAGATCTAATAAATCTGATCCCATTTGATAATCTAGCTTTTGTTCTTCTCGGATAATTAGAGTAGAAGCTACTGCTTTTTATATCTTCTAAACCAATTAGTTATCTTCATATATTAAAAATCTGAAGGGCAGGCCTGGTGCAAGCGGTAGAGTCTTACCGCCTGTGACCGGAAGGTCCCGGGTTCGAGTCGCGGTCTTCTCGCATTGCACAGGCGAGGGTAAGGCTTGCCACTTACACCCTTCCCCAGACCCCGCACAGAGCGGAAGCTCTCTGCACTGGGTACGCCCTTTTTTATATATTAAAAATCTATAGTTCCTGGACGATTTATATAGCCGTAAAACTGCAAGCTCCACTGGTGGAATAGACATGACCTGAATTCTGATCCTTGCGGTTTTGCCTATGATTTAACAGGTTCCTGTTATCTATGAAGAAATGATCACATCAGGATGTGCCCCTGATCGAAAAGCTAGAGCAATGCTGCGGTCAGCTTTAAGATACATGAAACACATGAGGGTTGCATAGGAAATTAGACACAATTACTGATACCACCTGATGGAATCATAAACCTTCTCCTGATCTTATAGAACATTTCAACAGAAGGTTAGTACTGGTCTGATGCTTGTACATTGCTGTATACTCCCTCCGTCCCTAGATAACTATCGTTTTCGCTTCCCGAGAAACAACTTTGACTAAATATATATATATATAAATATTAATATTTATGGTACAAAAGTAATATCATTGGATAGATCGTTGAATCTATTTTCATAATAAATTTATTTCGAGATACAAATGTTGCATGCATTTCCTATAAATTTAGTCATAACTTGCAGCATGGAAACCAAAAGCGACAGTTATTTAGGGGCCGACAGTTATTTAGGGGCGGAGGGAGTATATTTTCAAGTTTATTGGATAAATAAATGCTTTTTTTGGCTAAGATGTATGTTATATATTCATCAGGTGAAGCACAACATACCGACTGCCCTGACTGCCACGCTCTGCTTTTGCGCAAGATGACAAAATCAACAATATCTTCATTTTGTCTTCCTAATCACCTAGGGGAAGGCGAAGACATACATCTTGATCAGTGGAAGGAGATTAAATACATGACACCAAGAAGTGAGGATCTTGGTATAGTACACAAATACAGAGTCTGTCCAAACCTCAAAATCTGAGTTGGAAGCTTGGAATTGACATTGGTTTATAACCCAATTCCAGTATTTTGCTGAGAATTAATTGTAACGTGGAATTACAATTCCAGCTTTTCCAAATTGTATTTAGACATAGACATTTCTAGAATTTGTCTAGGGCAATACCAAGGAAATGTATTACATTTTTATTGCCTAAAGAAACAAACACACTATTGTCTTTGCCCTTATCATATACAATTTCACTTAGATGACGTGGAAGTAATAAAAAAAGAGCACCAATATTCTAACATTACACAAGGTAACTAGGAACACATTGTGTTTGTTCTCAGGAACATCAGAACTTAAGGAGGCACGGTGTGGTACACACATAGTGATTACACAAAAACAGCTCTAGCAAACTAAATTTGGGCACTGGACATGACAAATAAACATTAAGCAGTGGCACATATATTGAGTAAACACACAGATTGATACATTGCAGTGAAGAGTTGGAAGTTATGGAACAAACTTCCAAGTTTAAACAATGCTAGCAATCCTAAGAATAGAACTGGCATAAGGATAGAAATTGTCTAAGCCTCACTTCTTCCCAATCTCCATCAACAACCAATCCTTCCTCATGTCCATTGGAAGTGCTGTAAGACATTCAAACTTACGATCACTGCTTGTGAGGATACGATAGGCCCTTAGCAAGTCATCACGTGCTAGGCTGGGTATTGCTTGTAGTGTTGCAGAGATTTCCTTAGGGGATGCACTGTTTGGCTCATCTAGAGTCTCATTTGACTTCATAGATATTTGAAACGAATTTTTGATGTCACCAGACATGTAAAAAAAAGCATCATTTGTTCTGAGCCTCTTCCTCCTGCCTTGTTTGTTTGATTGGGTCATTAAGGGTGGCCCAGGACGGTATTGACTGCTAGGTCCAGATGTTGAAGGTGAACTTGGAGTATGGTCCTGGACATCTTCGGCACCCTTCATTTCCAACTCTTGGCCATTCTCAGCACCTGCACCTGCACTGACATCTTCACTTGTGGCAGAAGGATCTCTGGAGAACATTAGGCTTATTGCACCCCAGTTCTTGATAACTTTATGCTGATAGCAAGCAGCAGCTTTGTTTTTCTGCAAAATAACCATCAAACTGAACCATAAGCCCAAACACATTTCAGTACAAATTAACAAAAGCGAATGCATTTGCCCCACCTCTATGTATCTGCTCCAAGCATCCTCATTGTGAATCACAAGCTTGTTCCTATCCTGATCCCACTCAAATCCATCATGAGCGAGTATTCTGCCAAGTACATTGCAGTGCTTGTCGAACGTCTTGCATCTTGACATCACATGGTCCTTTGTGATGTCCATGTTGCACTTCTCCCGCACATTCCTCACCGCTGCAGTGTATACATGTGGCTTCCACCCAGTTGCTGTGTGATCCCCATTGTTGTGATGCTCAACAAGAGGAGCACCTGATCCATATCATCCGTCCAAGTAAGATAGCCCCTATACTTCTTCCCATTACTTGCACTCATGATACCAGATCTGTAGCGCTAAAATCAGGCAAGCAACACATTAGACTGTCCATTATGCTAAAGCCTGATTTATAAGATTTGGATGCTACAGGTGAATCATGATAGGGTATTTGGCACATGGGATGGGAGACAGGATAATCCAGATGATTAATTCACAAAATTGCGTCTGATACCAGCAATAAGCAGTTGAGATGTTGCAACGAACCTTATGGTCTTACACCTCTTTATCTGGCCTCGCTGTGAGGCGCTGCTTATACCAGGAGTTCAGGGCAGCATCCTGCAAGAACGAACGTTTCAGTAATCCCAATAATAAACAATGCGGGCCTGCGGCGAAGGAGCAAAGCATCGAGCAAGGCAGAGTCGGTCGCGTATACATCTGCTGGTAGGGGGTGGGGTGGGGTGGGGCAGGGTCTGTATTCTGGAAGCTGGATGTAGAAACCCAGCTACAGGGATTAGCAGGAGCTGGAGGCCGGCGGGTGGTGCGGACGGCGGCAAAGATGGACCTGTTCACCACCTCCCAGGTAGGGTTAGGGCAGGAGAAAGAGGATTCGCAGGAAGAGTGGAGCGGAGGGTTGAGGAGAGGGCGAGTCAGAATAACACGGGAGACGATTGGATCGCCGGTGAGGAGGATGAAGAGGGTGGTAGAGATTCACCTGTGGCCGCACCCCGCAGGCCGCTAGCGGGGGAGACGAGACGAGGAGGAGCGGCGCCGCGGAGGCCTGAATTAGTCAATTCCAAAGGATTCCAGGTTGGTGGGTTTGGAATTGAGGTCACCCCCTCATGAACATGCTTGTCAAATATATACCTCACATATAGTTTTCAAAGTTCGCAAAACGAAAAGTTTAAACATCGTTCGTCCATACGCATCACTACAAAGCAAAATACAGTGTTCATGCCTAACACTCGTCCATCATATCAGTCATCGGCCATCATTCTTTATCCGCACTATGTTTTTCGAGATAGAAGTATCCAAAGATGATGCGAGGCTCACTCGCAAAACAACTCATTGATAGCACCTTAATTACAAAATAGCACCTTAATTACAAGAAGGTACTCCGTGGAATTTACTAAAATATCAAAATCAATATTTGGCAATAGCAAGAATTAAGATAGGGATAGGGCATCTGGGTTACCCGTTTAATTGGGGTTTCTAAATTTGATACCCAATTTTTTTCTTCAGAAAATGGCACGTGATATTTTGGGTACCTAAATTTTTTTTATTCGGGTATTCCCAAACTACCTAAAACCTTGAAAATCATAAAAAATCAGAAGATATAGAATTATAGCCGCAAAGTTAAGCAATATAAACAACAACTTAAATAGCATTTTAGGACAAAATTAGAATCATTACATCATAGATCAGTAGGCTATAATTACGTCACTGTTAACATTAGATAATAGCACAAATGCTAAATAGCATATAATCTTTCTCTATTTCATGTAAACTGGGTAATCGTTACCGGGGCCTAATAGCCAAATTATCCAAACTAAAATCATGTTTCTAAATTTACTGTCTAAAATAGTGATCGGGTATTTTGGGTTTTGGTATTTCGGAGTCGGGTTTAGATAACTCGGGTTTGCATTTCGGGTTTCGGGTTTTATGCCCATTCCTACTTATGTTTAGCACTAGTTCCACTCACAAAACCCTAAATCACCTAACTCACCATAAACCCTGGGCATGAAGCGAAACACCCACAACACTCCCCAGGACATAGCAGTCTAGCACCAACATGCATGAACTCCCCGCCACAAACTCCTCCCTTAAAGCCCTAAGAAACCCCACTTAGCCCAAACTGTCATGCTTCCATGGACTATTTTGCATGTCATCTAGACTGCCCATCAACACTGGAGACTTAGATCAAACTGTAAATGCCACAACCTAATTGCCATGGCGGACTATCCACCAGCATCCAGTGGCGGAGCTCGTCAATTTTAACGACTAGGGCCACTGTCAAAACATATACATCGCCCCGCCGGGTCCAAATACCATCTACACTGGATATAAGAGCATCTCCAAGACACTCTTTATATCCTTATTAAATGCTAGGATTAGAGATTTTGATGAAAAACTATCCTCCAACAGCTTCTCTAAATGGTTATCCAAATATAGTCATCTTCTATTCCGGATTTTTTGGTAGCCAAAAATAGAAGACGAGAACAGGGAATTACCGATCCTCAGCAGGACTCTTCTATTGCAAATTTGCAATGAGCAAATAATAGCAGTCAGGAGGTAATCTTCTCATCCTGTGCTACCTGCCTCTGGCCAGCTTCTGGTGGGTGGTGGCTGCCCGCCTACCCCTGGGAGGCAGACACACAGTAGCTCGTCTGTGCATGGCCATGGCAGCGTGCCGGTGTCAGTGAGTGGCGGACTGGAGAAGGTAAGAGTCAGGGGCGACGGGGTGGAGGACTGGCTGGGTGGAGGACGGCATGCGAAGAGAAGCTGAAACGGGGAGTCAGGGTCTTGGGGAGTCTAGGGACGGGTGCTGCGTGCTCTGGCTTGAACGACCGTGCCTTCTCTTCACTCTTTGCTGGGCTGTATTCTTCTACAAGATTTGGCCCAACGCCTAGAGCCAGCCTAGTAAACTACATATACTAAAGGGGTACTTTGGGCCACACTTAGGTCTGTGGCCCTAGTGGCCCTAGACCCAAATCCGAGCACGTGATGGATTATCAGTTCACATGCAGTAGAGCCACCAACCTTCGCATCTCTGCTTCGGCGGATTGTCCTTCAACACATGACAAACTATTCGTAGGCTTTCTCTCTCTAGCCCATAGTGGTATGTTTTTGGGCACATACTGGCGGACTGTCCATTGACACATGACGGACGATCTGTGAAGACCAATTTAGACCAAAATCACACAACCATGCTCAGACAAAACTGTCTGACCCTCTCAATAAAGTGTGCGTGAGAGCACTGTTTGCACACACATACTTTACAATGAACATGCTGGTTGATCATAATGCACATACATCTTTCACGTCCTCATAAATTGTGTACCTTAGCCCACCCATCCCAAATCTATCTATCTAAGGAGTCTCCGTGTTATCTACTCCGATGATAGCAATGCCATTGACCCAATTGGCATATATACTATGGAAGAATACATTGCTGAGCAAAGTGTCCTGCACAATTTACTTGAGCGGATCGGTGTGAAGATTCAGGCCAAAATCGAAGCACAACAAGCTGGTACATCTCGCCGCCGGAGTGGTTTTAACAGGAAATTCATAGAGAGAGATCATGGAGAGGGTCATCAACGGCTTGTCGCTGATTTCTTTTCTGAAGATGCAGCCTATAATGAAAAACTATTCAGAACAAGGTACGGAATGAGAAAGCCTCTCTTTCTACGTATCGTCCGTGCCCTAGTCTCCCTATTTCACTAAAAGGACAGATATTTGTTATCGCCAAGGGCTCTCACCTCTGCAGAAGTGCACAGCGGCTATTCGTATGTTATCTCGTGGCTGCCCGTCAGATGCTGTTGACGAATATGTACAGATTGGTAAGGCACAGCAATGGAGTGTTTGGAGCGGTTTGCAGAAGGGGTGATTGACAAGTTTGGCGGAGAATATTTACGAGGACCTACTAGTGTTGATATTCAGCGACTACTACAAATTGGTGAGGGCTGTGGCTTCCCTGGCATGTTGGGAAGCATTGGTTGTATGCATTGGGAGTGGGAAAATTGCCCTCCTAAATGGATGCGTCGACTTAGTCATAGTGATCATGGTTTTGCCACATTTGTTCTTGAAGCTGTTGCTTCACAAGATCTCTGGATATGGTACGCTTCTCTGGATGTTGTTGGGTCCATCAGTGACATCAGTGTTCTCGATCAGCCACCGTTGTATAATGAAATCTTGAAAGGGCAAGCTCCCCAGATGCAATTCTCCATCAATAAGAGTCAATACAATATGGGTTACTACCTTGCAAATGAAATCTACCCAGATTGTAATGTATTTGTTAAGACAATACCCTTCCCTCGGACAGAAAAGGAAAGGTTGTTTGCACAACATCAAGAAGAGGCAAGGAAGGATGTCCAACGTGCATTTGGAGTCATGCAATCTCGTTTCCCCATTGTTCGTGGTCCAATACGCTATTTCCCACGGGCAACTCTTGCAAAAATCTTGCAAGCTTGTGTCATACTCCATAACATGGCAGTTGAGGATGAGAAAGATATGGCAAGTGCTTGCTTTGACTCAGGTGAAGCTATGGGAACATCCGCTGTTCTACCGTCAAACATCAAAACTGGGCCTGCCAATTGCTTAGCCAATATACAACAGAGGAATGCTACTCTTTCTAGTCTACCAACACATGGCCAACTAAGAAGTTACTTAATCGAGCACATCTGGCAGCAGTTTGGGCCATTTGGCGACAAGTAAAATGAGTTCTCCTAGTCTAAAGTTTATAATGACATCCTTTGATGCACACTAGCGTGTGCTGCTACATTCGATGCTTGGAACTGAGGGCGATGGAGATATATATGTTATGCATTATTGATCATTGCCTCCTACAGGTAGTACAGATTGGTGTTCCATGTACTGAATTTGGCATCCACATACTGCAAAAGGCTTGATTACTTCTTCAGTAGCAATAATCCTCCTTCAGTAGCCTTTTACCACTATTTTTATGTGATGCCATCCTGAACGCTCAAAATTGTCAACAAGCAAGAGATATTAATCTCACAATGTTTTTTTTCCCTTTTTTTTACTGGGCCATCATCGTTGCTGTTATTGTTTAATGCAGTCTAGGCTACAATGGGCAGTACCAAACTACCAGTCCGTTTAAAAAGATTTGGTCATGAATTATATTAGCTGCACAGGTCGCTGAGACTGTGGACTGC